GGTGAATCCTGGGGGGGGCAGGTTGGGGGGGGGGGCAGAAGGACTCAGCAGGGATTTCCAAGCCTGGAGCTGGCAACCATACTCAGGACTGGGCCCAATGAGTTTCTCACAGAGGCGTAGAAAGGGTTTTGTTCCTTTGTCTATTTACTGGGGGAACCAAACTTGGTTGCCTACCAACAGCCACTGAGGGAGAAGTGTGAATGCTTTGGCCGGTGGCCTCTATGGCATTCTATTCAGCTGAGGCCTCCCCTCTCCCCTCTCCCCTCCCCAAACTCTGGCTTCCTTAAACTGGCTTCCTTACCTGGAGCTGGCAACCCTATGAGTCCTCACAACAGCCACTGAGGGAAACTTTTGTCCCACACTCAGGAGCTAAGCAAGAGAACTGTGTTCGTCGGGAGACACAGAGCTTTTGACAGAGAACAGTGCCTGACGGGAGTAGGCAGGGAAGAGGAGCACACCCAGTCAATGGCACGCCAGTAGTCTTGACTGACAGCCAATGGGCCAATGGCTGAGGGAGCGCATGCAATCTCACCACCCCATGGGCCAGAAGCCACCACCATTCAGTAATTATATATAAGAGAGATAGTAGACTTGATGAACTTGAATTATCAATTATAAATTTGTTTCTTGAAAAATTCAGAGTGCATTAAGCTTTAATGTCAGGCCCATAATAATAATAATAATAATAACAACAACAACAACAACAACAACTTTTGATTTATTAATCGCTTTCCCCACAAGTGGGTTCAAAGTGATTTACAGTTACACTTTTAGGCAGGGGACTAACAATGTTTTCATAGGGGATAGGAAAGACAACATATAATTCATTTTAATTGCACACGCCGTAACTGCACGGTGGAAACGTCTCTGGCTTGGATCAGTCATGTCCCGAACGGCTGCATCGACCAGCTTGATGATGTTGGGGCTTCACAACCCGTATGTTGTATCGCCACACTGCCACCGCAGTAGAAACTATTCTTACAGACTTTTTAATACAGACCTAGACCAACTTTGGATTTTTGAAAAGCTCAAGTGTTGAATACAACTTTGTTTGTGGTAAACTAGGGAATGGTTTTCACGTTTGGCTTTTCTCAGATTCCCTTAATATTGGAATCTGTAGAGAAATCTCATTTGCTCCAACCTGACTTGTCAGTCCCCTGGCACAGTACCCACTGACCAAAAACAACTGACAGTCTCAACTGCCAAACTCCAACTGTCAATTTTTTTTAAATTAGAACTCCCCCCCCCCGAGTTCTGCATCAGAATTACATCACCACTACTAGTCATGTGACTGCAGGTGTCTTTTCTTGCAGGCTGATCTCAAGCCTGAAGTCTGTCAGGACAACTGCATTAGGGGAAAGGTCTCAGCCTTTTCCTGATCAATTGGTACATGTGATGGGTTCAAACCTCATACTATATAAGCTATATCAATAGCTGGGATGTGCTCAGTGGCAAAATTATAATCTTGGAGTTTGTTTATTTATTTAATTCGTACCCCCACCCTCCCCATGGAGTTGTAGACTCCATCTTACCAATTTGCTAATGGTGCTTTTTATTTGATTCAGTCATTTCAATGGTGAATGGTCTGTACATAATGTAAACTTTTAGTCTCAAGTGGTTGGGTACTACACCCAGCCTCAGAAGCCCATGTTCTGACTAGAAGCTACCTCTATACCTGTCCAATTTGGGGACAGGTTATCCCAGTTTAGTGCTGAGGGGGAAGCCATCATGTCTGATGAGTGGGTTGTTTCAATAGTTAAGTTTGGTTATAGGTTAGAATTTCATGAAGTTCCCCCTTATATTTCTCTCCCAAGGGCAGTGAATAATTTGCTAACTCACACTGAGGTGTCGTTGCAAGTCCTTCTTGAGAAGGAAGCAATTGAATTTGTCTCCAGATGATTTTCACTCTTGCCTGTTTCTGGTAGAGAAAAAGGATGGTGGTCTCAGGCCTATCTTGGATTTCAGGGGGTTAAATGTGTTCTTTTCTGTTTCTATGTTCTGCGTGGTTTCGTTGCTCTCAGCTTTGCAGTTATTAAAACTGGATTTATGATTCATTGTTATTGATTTGGAAGATACCTACTTTCATATCTCCATTATCAACACTGCAAGTACTCACATTTTCACTTCAGTTCCCAGGTTTTTCAATACACTGTTTTGCCCATTGGCTTAGCCGCAGCCCCCAGGGTCTTTACAAAGTATATGGTTCCTGTGATGGCATACCTGCGTCTTCAGAGCTGTACCATCTTCCCTTACCTTGATGACTGGCTGTTAATGGCATACTCTAGGGAAGAGCTCCTGGCACATTGTGGTGTTAGCGACTTGTCCTCCGATTTCTGAACACCCCAGATCTAGTGTGCGTTGTCCAAGTGCTGCACCACAATGTCAGTTGCCTAAGCTTGACTGTGTGGAGGTTTCAGACTGGTAGTGTAGCCGTGGTCTTGGCATTGTAGAACTTGACTTTTCCCCTCACATATTATGCTTACTGTGTATGTTGGTCTTAAGACTGGAATAATAAAACTAAACTAAGCGTTTTGCCAGTAACTGTGACTGGCATCCTCAGAGGTATAACACAAGAAAGATGGAGTACTCTCTGTATCAAGGTTTTGACACAGAGAGTACTCCGTGTTTCTGTGTTATACCTCTGAGGATGCCAGTCACAATTACTGGCGAAACGTCAGGTTCTACAATGCCAAGACCATGGCCACACAACCTGGAAAATCTACAGCAACTAATGAACTCTGGCCGTGAAAGCCTTCAACAACATAAAGATAATATAATTTGCTTATATTCGTGCTTATTTTGGGGGGAGAGAACATGCTTGCATTTGTCTTGATAATATATGGAGCTGTTGGTTTGGGGCAAAATGAAGTGTGATTCAGAATAATTAATTATGTTCTGTATCCTTCTTTCCCTATATGTGATATGGGTCTGAAGGAACACAATTGTAAAAAGTCAGTTAGCAGGTCATGATTCTAATTATTTGTCAGTGTTCCTTGCCGGTGTTATCATTTACTATACATAGGAAGGGGAGGCAAAGATCTTCTTTTATGATAAACTACTTTCCAAGTTATAATTTTTCTCTTCTGTCGAGACCTTGAGCATTTTTGGTGATGCCAGCAGAACAATCATCGGAATAGTAAGGTTTAATTTACAGAATTCTCTCATAAAATGTATAAGATATATTCTGGGCTACAGCAAGCAATGAACAAATCTTTCTAAAAAAACATCTGATGTATTTTTCCCTTTATAGTGCAACTTTCCATTATTAGAACTAAGAATTAGTAAAACACTCACACTGCTAGATCTTTTAAAATTTGTTTTCTAATTTATTGTTCTAGAAAGACTTGCAGAACATTCTTGAAAGCTTACTGTATCCTATCTGGACTTCATTTTAAAGTGAAAACAAATCAATTCTTTATTGTAAAAACTTGTGTTTAAAGGTACCGTATATACTCGAGTATAAGCCGACCCGAGTATAAGCCGAGACTCCTAATTTTACCACAAAAAACTGGGAAAAAGTATTGACTCGAGTATAAGCCTAGGGTGGGAAATGCGAAATGCAGCAGCTACTGGTAAATTTCAGAAATAATAGATACCAATAAAATTACATTAAAAACACATAATATTTATTTCAAAGAGAAACAGTAAATTAGCTCTATAAGTGGAAAAGAGGGTCAACAAAAACAATATGGTATCAACAATAACTTTAAAAGTACAAAAACCTTAGCTCAAGCAGCGAACAAAGTTAAAACATAAGAGTTAA